GTTGTGCTTCTTGTTGCTTCCGGCTAAAATAAACATAATTAAAGACATTTTGAGTGTTTAAAATGTGCTGTAATACACAACACATTATTTATTCCTAAACTTGCAGAAAGAAAAACTAAAGTGTGACATTTAATCACATATTTATATATCAATCTTATACACCTTGAATTCTTGTTGGCCAATGATACACATACCCTTTGAAGATGAGCTGGGAAGTTGAATACTGTTGGCACAACACCATCTTTAAGCCGGACAGTCTGCCCCGTCCTGTCAAAGTCCTCACAACTGAAGTGCTCACTGCAGAGCAGTGTCCTGCCTTCTTAGGGCAACTTCCCACTGCCTCCTCCTCTCTCGGTTTTGGGAAACCTTAAAAACATGAGAAAGGTAGCCAGATATAAATTATTGTCAACATTTTCCTCCCTTCTTTCCTTTAACATTAAGGGTAAGGACAAAAATACACACCGAAATTATCATATTTTTGGGGTAATTGTATGTATGTATGTATACTTTAAGAATAAGACAACTACACTAAGAGTTATAAAAAAGGTGTCCAAAAGAAACATTAAATAATTGTGTAAAGAAATGGTAGCAACATATTCTAAAGAGGCTGGGTCAACAACAATCTTGCAATACTATTATCTCACATAGCCCCACTGATCCTGTGTAGCAGAACTTGTAATGTACATACATCCACTACGTAATTAACGATTATCCTAATTATAGTCATAATTGTCATATCTTACACGTGAAAGGTGATTCCACGGGTTCTTGGTCAACTTTGTAATACTAGGTCTCACTCACAGCCTCTTGTTATTAGCCAGCTAATAAATACAACCACACATACACAAAGAAAAGCTGCTATTTCAACATGTCCAAGCATCCTGTATCATAGCCATGCTAATAATGTTTATAATAAACCAAACCGTTTGTAAATCAGTCAAGATTTCAGCGAGTTAAGAGTATTTTTGTGCAGATCACTCACCTTACAACAGCTACCATAGCGCGTACCAGAGTAGCTGTTGACTGTAGCAAGATGGCGGCCAGTGAGCTACGCTGGAAAATCTCCCATGAGCCATCTAGTGTTTATATATATCTATGGTTTTACTGAAAACTGTCCTTTACCTATTCATTCTGAACATGGACTCCAGCAGACTACTGACATCTAGTGGACATGAATTGCAACAACACCTACTTTAAACTCAGGATTTCTCTTTCTAATTGTTATTTTTTAAAACATAAAGACATGATGGAACCTTAAACATTTCTTAATTGGACCTGACAATTAAAGACAATTGTTAATTTACTGTTAGCACTGTCATTTTTTTAAAGTAAAAATTTAATTTAAAACACAACCGTAGCCTCAAGACATGCAAAGTGAATTAAGAAGAGCAACTATCTGCACTTGACAACAACTTAATATGTTTAACTACAGTTGTCCCAATTGAAGCTCCCGTCACAGTGTACTGACTGATTCTGCAGTCCATTGCTGCTGTCATCATCAAACATCTCCACACACAGACAACACAATCATATCTGTCTACTGATTTATCAGGAAAACTCACAAGGTTTATCCCAATATCCATCCTCAACTTGACCCGGAAATCGATCGTTGAAGGACGTCATGATTCCTTAAACGTGTGCGGTGGAGTCGAGGAGAGAGGAGGGAGTAGGCTTTTACATTTGCTTGATTTTTTGTAAAACAGAAATATCTTTGATTAAGGATGAGATCCTTCTCTACGACACATTAAAGTGTTTGAAATAAACTTACACATTAAAAAATAATGGTTTGATAATAATTATTGTCACTATTAATGAATAATTTACAGTTCCTAATAGTGGTTTATTTGCATGTGTGGATAAAGGACACTGCATTTAAAACAATTCATTGGTCAATAAAATGATTTATTATTTAGTTTATTTAAATTTTATTTAAATTAATACATTTGTGTCTGAATTCTTAATTTAGTTTTTGTGTTTTTTATTTGTTGTCTTAATATTAATATTTTGTCAAAGAGTGAGTTCTGCCAACTTCTACTATCCAAAAATGTAAATATTCTTCGACTTTTACTAGCTATAGACATGGTCTTCCTGTTAACAGTAACAGGTAGTAATCAGATATCCTTATTTACAGTCTGGTAAACTTCTTGTTACTATTTAATGCGACTTCATAAACTGGCTGTCATTTTCCTTGTATACAACGTGGTGCTCCCAAGAGTTGATTTGATGTAATTTAAGTTATACAAATATAATAATACATAATAAATAATATATAAAATAAATAATAGAACATTTATACATATATTTTTTTTTCTCTGCAGGTTATCAATTATGATTTTATAAATTCTAGCAGTTTTATTTATATATTATCATTAATAATTGTTAATAACCAGACTTGCTTAGAGTAGAACAACAAAATGTGGCCCTTTTTGAGGGGTACTATGGTCATTACTTTAGGCACTAAAAGTGAAGCGTAGAGCCCCCGCAACCTTTAAGATGAAGTATGCTGTCAGTATATTTTATACATTAGTATGTTATTACTTTTAGAAAAATCAGGTGCATAACATGATAAAATGTGAATTGTCTTTAACCACAACTATTTGAACTATCAGTCTGACTTTAAAATGCAGTTATAGTGAAACCTTTATATTGCTCCCGCAAAGGCCTCCTGTGGCTGTGTTTTTGCATCCCCCTGTTATTTCAGCCAAGATGAGTGTTTCCCGCGAGGTGCATGCAAAACACGGCATAACACCTGTTGTTCTGTGATTTTTGATAACACACAGATGGCAAGTACCAATTGACTCAATCTGTGTAAGGCCAGGGAAAGCCCAACATGAAAACTATTTAGGGGTCTTAAAGAGAGAACTTAAACAATAATTGACAAAGAAAGTTTTGCCTACCTTTGTTGATTAACCATGTTAGAAACGATACCTCTTCTTTTACCCCGGATTGTTTATCTACTGTAGGCTATATGTAATATTTTGTCGAGCCTATATCTGTCCTGAGTCAGGTTTGCATTTCTCTGGCGATGCCAAACCTTTTCCAGGCATCTCCTTTTATTCCTAGTGCAGTAACTTTCTGTTGTTTCCCAGAAACGATGGGGAAGGGAATCTGATACATCATAATATTCCTTGGTAATAAACAATTTTCTTTTATTGAAATAGTAATGAGTTCATTAATCATACCTTATTCACAATAGCGTATATGACAACATCTATTTGTACTGGTGTAATTCGGCTGACTTTTATATTTGATCCAATTGGTAGATAGGCTATATTTACACCATAACGGTGCACAGCTGATAGAAAGGGACACCTAGTGGTTAAAGCACGTTATTGAATTTGATTATTTTTATTATTAGATATTAATAGGAGACACAGACAGACAAACTAATAAGGATTTAAAATAAAGAAGTGTGTGAAGTGTGGCTTGATATTGAGTTAGAAAAGGTTGATTTTCTTCGTTACGGCAGCATGTGTAACAGTTTTAAATATGCAGTGGTGTTTATTTGAATCATTTAGTATAATCACACATTCTGTGTTTTATATTTAATAATTCTGTATTCTTTATTTATTGAATGTTCAATACCTGACAAGGTCGGAGATGAAAAACTTGGGTCGCAGGTTCCTCAACAGTGCATTACAAGACATCTATCAATATGTGTGTATACCTCCACCATTAAACTGTCGTATTCTGCACATTTCTTATACTATTTACATACATCTTATAAGAGTATAATACATATGTATAATATCAGTTAAAATAAGTGCTTAAACATACAGTAGTTAACATTGCAGGAAAGCAATATATTAGTACTTTGTCAGGCTTAATATTTATCTGTATACCCCCCATAATAACGTGCTTTAACCACTAGGTGTCCCTTTCTATCAGCTGTGCACCGTTATGGTGTAAATACAGCCTATCTACCAATTGGATCAAATATAAAAGTCAGCCGAATTAGTATTGATACTGCAAGGAGACTTATATTGTGAAGAGAAATTGAAGATGTTGTTTAATTACTGATATGTTTATGATCCACGTCACATATTCAGTTTCGGCGGCAGTTCTTCCTGTTTGTCCAGAAGTCTTCTCATCAGGGCTCTAGCGAACTACGGCAGATATGTAATATTTAATGCAGCCGAACCGTGTATTACAATGCCGTTATGTGATGACCTCCAAAGAGAAAAGCAAGCAAACTCGGAATAAAGTATTATTTTATTTTAAATTTTTTTTTCGGATTTCACATCTTAAAACACCATATCCCAGCGTGCATTGCGGCTAAAACATCCAAATCACCGAGCTGAGGATCTTGCCTACGTCTGTTTCCGGTATTGTTTATGACGGATGTATTTTGTTATTACTGTAGTGTAGAGATGGCAAATCCGGATCATTTTACGGACTCAGGGTCTTCTGAGTCAGTCATTGAAGAGATCCGGATCATACGAGTCATTTGAGTCATATGAGTCAGCATGACCAAGACCGTAGAAATCCTATTGGTGAAACCGAAAAGTTGTTGCATTTCACGAGCATATTATTATTCCATATATTTTGAATATATATATATATTTGTATATATATATATATAATATCTGCATGTATATTTTCTTTCTATTCTTGTATATTTTGTAGTTTTGTTTTATTGTAAAATGCCTTATGCTGCTGTAACAACAACAATTTCCCAATTTGGGATCAATAAAGTACTATCTATCTATCTATCTATTAAACTGACGTTATATTAACCTCCGCTACACATTGTATTTTGCTTTAATAAAAAATGTTGATCACAAAAAAAAGGGTTATTTTGCGATTTGGCAAATCTGAGTCTGCTGTTGACTCGTGCATGAGGACAAGTCTGCTGGATCTCTGGATCTGCTGCTATATACGGCTCCGAGTCCGCACGAGTCTGCTCTGCTGTGTGTTGCACACACAGTGAGTCAGGATTTGCGAATCCGAGTCTGCTGTGGACTCGTGCATGACGGACGAGTCTGCTGGATCTCTGGATCTGCTGCTATACGGTTACGGCTCCGAGTCCGCACGAGTCTGATCCGCTGTGTTGCAGCGAGTCAGGATTTGCGAATCTGCGAATCCGAGTCTGCTGTGTGGACTCGTGCATGACGACGAGTCTGCTGGATCTCTGGATCTGCTGCTATACGGTTACGGCTCCGAGTCCGCACGAGTCTGATCCGCTGTGTGTTGCAGCGAGTCAGGATTTGCGAATCTGCGAATCTGCGAATCTGCGAGTCTGTGTTGGAGCCGTCGGCTCCTCTGAGTCCCCACGAGTCTGCAGGAAGTTTCACTGATCCGCGTCCCCTCCCCTGAGCCAAACGATCACTTCTGGCAGCTATCCTGTGACTGTATACTTGCTAAAGGGTAGGTAGATGGACTTGGGGTACGTTGTAATGTGATTTTACATGTTATAAAGAGAGTAGCGAGTGACGCAATTTATAGTTTTAATTTGTACGTCACACCAAGTGTGGGACTCAAGGACTCGGGTTAATGGAGAGGGAGACTCGTCATGACCAGCTCATTTCTAGGATCCGGGTTAATGATCCGGATGAATCAGGACTCGCCCATCTCTACTGTAGTGCCGAGAGACGGGAGTCGGAGACGGGGTATCAAAGGTACAAGCTATAGACTTTTATTTAGCATCAGAACAACATGTAAACAGCTTCAAGCCCGGGAAGCGAAGACCGGGGTAAACAGGAAGTCCGGTTAACAAAAATGTCCGTGTGGAAAAATACCCCAACCCATAGATCCGTAGGTGAATAATGTCAATCACCACATTACACACATTCCTTCACATTTGAATTTGAATTTACATTAAAGCATTTCGTGAGGCCTTCTAAAATGTTTTTAACACTAGAACCGCCAATTGGGTCAATTTGACCCAGAGCTGTTTTTTATTGTGTGTAACTTTTTTTCAATAACATATTAAAGTCTTCCAGTCCGTAACTTTTCCTGAAAGTGTGTTATGTAGCACCCTACTGTATGTTGTTAAAAATTGTCAATATGAAGTCAGATGAAAGTACGTTATGCTGGCCGGGGGTGTCTAAATAATGCTTCCGGGCCAGCGGGCCATTTATAATGTCGAGCCCTGTCATATGAAAAGCTGAGAGTCCACAGATTCTATTGGTATACGTTTCATCCCTGTGCGATCAAAACTCACTGTTCAATAAAAGAACATTTTACTTTGAAAATCAATGCATTCTAATAGCGGGTCAATTTGACCCAGGTGGCGGTTTTAGGTATAAAAAAACCTCTGGCGGTTCGTGTTAAATATAATTAGGGTTGTAGTTGAAGAGTTTGTAAACTAGAGTTTTGCCTGGCAACGCAATCGCACAACGGCACGTCCGTTAATTCCACAACCACACACATGGATTAACATCGATTTAATACATTAATGTAGCCTTTGTTTCTGCAAAAGAGGTGTCAACCAGCTGGGGCAACAAGAAAATCGGCGAAATCGAGTGTGACTATTACAAAATAAATAATGATTATATTAATATTGACAATAGCAACCGACCGTCGGGGTAAAGCATTTGCCGGAGAGCGTTCTCATGGCGTCTATTATCAACGCTATGGGAGGTCTATGGGACGCCCTGCCCGTTGAAAACTGACGCTCAAGGAGTACCCTGTGCGTAATAGGGTGACGGGGAGGGGCCCTGACCGACCATCAACATGTGACGGGTTGGGAGTGAGAACGTGTTGCCTGTGCAGACCACCAGATCAGCAGGGAGTCACTGTCTCTTCATTGGTGCCCCCTGCTGGTGAGGTGGAGAGTTACATTGTTACTCATTGCAGTGAGGGAGACATTGTGCGAGGGACGATGGACACAGACAAACAGACACTCAGTATCCGAGTAACCTCAGCTGCTGAGTGTCTGTGTTTGCACAACTTTGGAAAGAAAGATCAAGTGTAATGTAATTTAATAAAAAACAGGCCAACTGCAACAGCTCCACACACAAGTAAGTCAAATACGATCATTGAACAGTTGATGCAAACCATGTAAATATGTTTAAAATAATGTCAGCAATGTGATGGGAACTCAGAGATGGCTTTTATTGCACATGCCCCTCTGAAAAGCAGGAGACCAACCATAAGTTTCACTTTACTGGAAACTAGATAATCGTTCCTGGGAAACAAAACAGAAAGTTACTGCACTAGGAATATAAAAGGAGATGCCTGGAAAAGGTTTGGCATCGGCAAACCTGACTCAGGACAGATATAGGCTCGACAAAATATTGCATATAGTCTACAGTAGTTAAACAACCCGGGGTAAATTCTCTCTTTAAGACCCCTAAATAGCTAGTTTTCATGTTGGGCTTTCCCTGGCCTTACACAGATTGAGTCGATTTGTAATTGCCATCTGTGTGTTATCAAAAATCACAGAACAACAGGTGTGTTATGCCGTGTTTTGCATGCACCTCGCGGGAAACACTCATCTTGTTGCGTGCACGTATGAATGAATATGTTTAATATATTTACATTTTATATGAATGATATATATGTTGTTCCTTTAATTTAACATTATCATTTAGGTTGCTACTAAGAGGCAATGGCGCTAATGCAAACGTGTGGTTTTAACTTACAAGTAAATATATCTTCTCTAATATTTAACATAAGGTTTATCATTCTTTCTGCCTTCACATGATACAGGGATTCATGAAGTGAAGGTGTGGGTAGCAGATACTGTAAGAATCACCCACAATGAGTCATAGAACTATGCAAACTGGTTTACTGACTTTCCTATTGTGTTGATTCTGGCTGGAGATTGTTAAGTGACAGTGGTTACATAACATTCTCAACCAGCAAAACCTGTGGGCATGCACGAATGCACGAGTCAGGTGGCACAGGTACTTAAACCAATAGCACTACCCTGGCCTTACACAGATTGAGTCAATTGGTACTTGCCATCTGTGTGTTGTCAAAAATCACAGAACAACAGGTGTTATGCCGTGTTTTGCATGCACCTCGCGGGAAACACTCATCTTGGCTGAAATAACAGGAGGATGCAAAGAACCAGCGTTGCCAAATAATGCATCCACATAGTAGGCCTAACTTTGTTTCTAGAGTAAGGACACTTCAAATCAAACTGAATCAAATGGTGTTATCAGCACATACTTTATTTGACAGAGTGGATGTTACATTGTTTTTTTCACATTTAAAAACCTCATTTTAGAATAACAGTTTAGTAAAGATGTCTGAAATGCTTAAAAACACAGCGAAAAGAACACAAAGAGTTCGACCTGAGAAATAATGAAAGCTTAATCAAATAAACCTTGCAAACTTAGACCAATCATATCAAGGAAATACAATATTAATGACTCAATGTTCATAAACTATAGACTTCAGATTATTTATCATCATTGATGAACCAAAAAAAAATGATATCGTTTCCAAACCGTACTTTGCCGTACAAATCATTGAAATGTCTGGGCGTTTTCGCTTTATGCTGTGCGCGCTCCGCGAGGTGCATGCATGTCTCGGCGGGCATAACACCTGTTGTCCAGGGCGGCTGACAGCGTGCACGTATGAATGAATATGTTTAAATATTTATATATATGAATGATATATATGTTGTTCCTTTAATTTAACATTAAAGGAACATTATTTTAACATTACTTAACATTATTATTATTTAGGTTGCATACTAAGAGGCAATGGCGCTAATGCAAACGTGTGGTTTTAACTTACAAGTAAATATATTCTCTAATATTTAGCATAAGGTTTATCATTCTTTCTGCCTTCACATGATACAGGGATTCATGAAGTGAAGGTGGGGTAGCAGATACTGTAAGAATCACCCACAATGAGTCCTAGAACTATGCAAACTGGTTTACTGACTTTCCTATTGTGTTGATTCTGGCTGGAGATTGTTAAGTGACAGTGGTTACATAACATTCTCAACCAGCAAAACCTGTGGGCATGCACGAATGCACGAGTCAGGTGGCACAGGTCCTTAAACCAATAGCACTACACGCTGCAGGAACAAATTGTTGTGGGCTGGGCTGGGTCAGAGTCCTGCCCGTTCCTAACTCATCATGTTTAATCTTTCCTTCATGGCTCATATAGTCTGCTGATTGTTTTTTTCTCTGTGATTTTTGTGTTACATAGTTGTTGGAGTAGATGGTGTTACACTGTTACAGGATTCTTTTCAATGTTTTCAGTGAGAAGCTGTTTGAATAATCTGGAGAGTGTGGGATGGCTGAGAGTGTATCAGCAATGGATAGCTCTGATGAGGTAAACAATTAAATAACTAAAACATTACAGTAAATAGATGTTGTCATATACACTATTGTGAATAAGGTATGATTAATGAACTCATTACTATTTCAAATTAAAACATATTTTTCTTATTACCAAGGCATATGATGATGTATCAAATCCCTTCCCTGACCCGTGCTGTGAGGAAGGAAAGAACACTCCAGCAGCACCAGAGTCCGACCGTAAGTGTGACTGTTAATAACTGATCTAATGTAACAAATATATACGCAGCGATATGTAAAGATACTGAGATGTACTTTTCTTCTCTTATGACAGATGTTCCTCCACCAGGGGAAGTAACAGTTCTTAATTCTGACCAGGAGACAGTTTCTCTGGCTTTCCACCCACTGAAAACTCTGCTGGGTTTAGACTACAGTTAGATTACTTCTGTGAAACACACAGCAGTTTGACTGTTGATGACTCCAGCCCTGTGAAGGTTGATGGACTGATACCTGGCACTGAGTATACCTTCAGCATCACAAGGATTGCAGACAATGGAAATCAAAGCAAAGCAACCTCGCTATCTGTCTTCACAGGTAAATCAGAAAACAAGTTTTCTGAATCTTTTGGATCACTTCCTGAACAAATCTACAAAATCTCTGTTAAAAGCTACTTTCAGACAAATAAGGGTCTCTACACCTATTTTACTTGCACTTTAAAATGCAGACAAACTTTGACAGAATATGAATTTTCAGTTTCAGTGAAACCTTATATGTTCCCATAGAGCCCAGCCCTCCTGTGCAGATTACAGTCGACCAGGTCAGCAGCGAGTCACTGTCTCTGCATTGGGACCCCCCTGCTGGTGAAGTGGAGAGTTACATTGTGACTTGTTGCAGTGAGGGAGACATTATGAAAGAGACAACTGACACAAACAAGATGACATTCAACAACCTGAAGCCAGGGGAGTGTTACTCTCTACAGGTTTCTACAAAACTTCGGAATGGAAGAATAAGCAGTCCAACTGTAACATCTGCCAACACAAGTAAGTCAAATAAAATCATTATTGCATGGTTGATAAAGACAATGTCAAAGATGTTGACCCAAAGATGAAGATTGGAATTGAGCAGATGGCTTTGAGTGAACATGCTTCTGGGTTAATAAAGACCTTTCAGAGTTCGAGACTGCTGAGAAAATGCAGATTACATTGTGGTGGGCATTTCAATTCCGTTAAGAGAAACTGATAAATGATTAATACACAAATGTGTCTTTTGCTATATTTAATAAAGTAATAAAGAAAGTCAGACACAATTTAAATCAATCCAAATGCAGGAACTGAGCAACTTCATCGTCAAAGGATAAAGAAGTTCTGCAAAAGTTGAATAGCAGCTAAAAGAAAGAGACATGAAATAATCAAAAAGTAAAGCATACATTAGTAACAAAATAAAAAAAAGACAAATAAGTACACAACCTTAGCTACAAAATTAGAAGCAGCAATTTCAGTAAACTAAGTGACATAGATGGCATTGAAGTATTGTGACCTAAAAAGAATATAAGTTGGGATATTTATAAAAATAAGTATGTTCTACATTAAAGGGATTATAGCGCCGTACAAATTGCAGATAGTGTTTATATCTCACATTGCAGGTTTATTGCACAGGATTGCAAGAGTCTCTATTTTTTTGGGTGGTTATACAGTCATTCAACATAAAATAATTCCTAATAGTATCTTTGTTTATGAGTTGGTGAAAGCTAGAGTTCATACTGACCATGGGATACTGGCCCTCAAGATGGCACAATGTATCCAGCACCAATTATTGGCCAGTTGTCGATGAGTGTCCTCCTTAGCCGCTTTCACACAAAGTACTTGCGAGAAAAAAAATGGCGGCTTCACAAAACTTTTCAGAGTTTTACGGGGCGTGGTTTGCAATTCGCCCAGCCAATTAGAAATTGTTAGTGTGGCTGACACACCCACGAACCATTTCCTCCGCTACCTCTCTAGCAGGGACTATCTGGGTTGAAAAGGTTCGGCGAACTAGGGACTAGGCCCAGATCCTTTTTGGTGTGAAACCAAATCTCCCCCCCCTATCGGCCTAGTTCGGGGGGGAAATTACTCCGGTGTGAAAGCGCCTCTTGAGTCTTTTAAGATAATTTCCAGACCCAGAGGTCAGAGTTCTGAGAATTTCATAAATCTGCTGAATTCTGATGCTCACCAATATCTCTATCCACCTCTTTTAAAGGGGACCTATCATGCAAAATGCACTTTAGTACGTCTTTTATAGATGAATATGTGTCCCCGGTGTTCCAGGGAACTCACCAAGTGTCAGAAAACACAACCCTCTCTATTTTCCTCCATACCCAAATCTCTAAAAAAGGGGCTGCAACGGATCTGATCAAAACTGATCCAGATTTGAACACTGTCCTGACGTCAGGACAGTGGCGCTACGGCTATTGGGCCAACTCCACCAATCAGGAGGAAACAGCCACGGCCATTGCCGTTCGAAAGCGCTGGAGACGCTGTAGTACATATGCCAGGCCTGTAGATGGTGCTGTTCACAGAATCTGCCCTTGCAAATAAAGAGCTAAAAAATGTCAAATTGAGCAAAATGAGGCATGGCTAAAATGCATGATCTGTTTGGTATTTTGAAAAAAAAAAAGTATAAATATGCCTTATATAGGTATGGTCCTACACTATATTATTCAAATATAGCATGATAGGTCCACTTTAAGTCCTTTTACAATTCCATCAATTAGATTATTATGTCTTTTATCTTCACAAAGATTTACATTTCGGACCTACTTCAAAACTAATGGAAACAGAAGATTGAATTCTACTACCGGTATTGTCAAAGGTTTTGTATCAATGCATTAGGCAAACAGTTTACTGATTGACTGCCCAAAATAGTCATAATTTTTGCAAAATGTAATTGTGTTAAAGCAAAATTCAGTAAAATGTTAGAAATCTAAATGCTAAACATTGGATTGAGGACGAGAAAAATAATGGGTTTTATTCATATATTTTTAAACAGAGACACACCTAGAGAGCTTACTGGAGGATCTGGGGTTGGATCACCACGATGAAGAGAAGCTATCCCTCAGCACAGTTCTAAGCATTGACGAGAAGACCATTACCGATGAACCTGCCAAGTGTAATTCAGATCTTCCATGGTATTTTCTGAAGAAACTAATGATGGTTAATGTGACAGCTAGGAATGTGAAATGTACATCTGCATGCGAGTCAAACTCTGGGGATCGCTTAGATCTTGATAATCTTGTCAAAAGTACACATTCAGGTGACACACTGAATCCCCTTGATATCACTGCTCTCTTCCTGTGCTCTGATGGTTTTGTACAGCAGGAAATGGCCCTCAAAATGTCCATGTGTCAGTTTTCCGTGCCTCTGTTGCTTCCCAACTGTGACACAAAGCAGTGCACACACTCATGCTTTGGGCCATGAGAGACATTGTTAAAAAGTACAGACCTCAGTCACTTTCAGAATCCAAGGGATTTATTGAAGAGAGAATTGTTGTCTCTGAACTTCCAATGATATCTTTTGTGAGACTGGGTGAGTGCTCCTTGTCCAAGTCAGAGATCCTCAATAAGCTTCTGAGCATTCTCAGCAGTACCATAACACCTTCGTTCACCGCAACATGGAGGGTGGTGACAGTCCAAGGAGAATATCCAATGGATTGGTTGAAATGACTTGGTACCTCCCTTGTGGGAACAAAAACATGGATGTCTTCAGCGAGCCAGTTGCGTAGCTAACCTTCGTGGGGACATTGCTTCATTTGAAACACAATTTGCTTTCTTGTGTCAGACATCGGCAGCAGTTTTTGTGTTCTTTGATGCTTTGAACTCTGAGTGTGAGCTGCTAACCAACCAAAACCACAAGGCCCAGATCTTCTTGGTGGGTAACCTTCCAAACAAGCTTTTCAGTTTGGATGCTGTAAAAAGGTAGCAACCAAGTTGGACTTGACTAACAGCAACATCCTTTTAAAGACTAAGAGCATGAATGATGCAGACTTTGTCAAAGATTTGCAGGAAAAAGTCAGCAATGTATTTGAAAACTCACAGATGAAGATGGGAATTGAAAATGATGCCTTGCCCATGAACTGGAATCTGTGTTGATGAAGACTCTCCAGAGTGCCAGACTGCCAAGAAAAATGCAGATGCATCACTGCAGAAATTCAAGACATTCTTAAATACAAAGAAGCTCAGCTTCCCTTGCAAGGCCAAATATGGAAGGAGCTTACGCTTGGAGAAGGAAGAATTCCGGCTTCGGAAAGTTGGGTCTGAAAAAATAGAAGTATAAAAGTGATCTTCAGGTACAGAAAACCAAACTTCGGGAAAAACAGAACTCTCAGAACATGTCCAAGGCAATCATGTTTCATCAATGCAATATCAAGCCCAGGGATTGAGAAGAAAGAGGAGGAGGAGAAGAAGAAGAAGAAGATAGAGAGGTTCTATTTCCTGAAATGGATGCGAATGAACCTCGATAACGTGTCTCGAGAAAACTCTTTGTGACCTCAGGGAGCAGTACAAAGAAAAATGCAAAAACCCTGAGAACAAAGAGGAGATCAAGGAGATTGACAACAACTTTCCAACAGCTCATTAGGGACTGAACACTTCTTCCGTGAAATGGGGCAGATCTATGAAGCTTCCCTTTCCCTTCCTGAAACAGACCCAGCACGTCAACAACTACAGCATCTCCCCAAGCTATGTGCTGAGTTAATGCTTGATGGATTTCCACTTGAGCTTGTAGATGGAGAAGCATCCAACATACCTCTCAGATGGGTGACTGACGTTCTCTCTCAGCTCAATGACTTGGTGTCTCCTAAGAACAAGATCCTGGTAGTCACAGTTCTTGGAGTTCAGAGCACAGGAAAGTCCACTCTCCTCAACACCATGTTTGGAGTGCAGTTTGCAGTCAGCAGTGGTCGATGCACTCGAGGTGCCTTTATGTTGCTGATTAAAATCAATGAAGATGTCAGAAAAGACTTCAACTGTGACTTCATGGTGATCATTGACACTGAGGGCTTAAAGTCACCAGAGCTCGCACAACTGGACAATAGCTATGAGCACGACAATGAGCTTGCAACACTTGTTGTGGGGCTGAGTGATATCACCATCATGAATATTGCAATGGAGAATTCAACAGAAATGAAGGACATCCTACAGATAGTTGTACACGCTTTCCTCAGGATGAAAGAGGTGGGCAAAAAGAAGCCCAAATGTCAGTTTGTTCACCAGAATGTGTCCGATGTTTCAGCCCATGACAAGAACATGCGAGACAGGAAACTGCTCCTGCAGCAGTTAAACGAGATGACCAAGGCAGCAGCCAAAATGGAAAAGAAAGAAGAGTACTCGAGCTTCACTGATGTGATGGAGTACAGTCCAGACACTGGAAACTGGTACATTCCTGGACTCTGGAATGGAAACCCACCGATGGCACCAGTCAATGCAGGCTACAGCGAGGCTGTCTATGAGCTCAAGAAGAACATCACATTTTGGGAAGTTGTGGATCATCAGCTAATAATATCTTGGAGTTTACAGAGTGGATGAAGAGCCTGTGGACGGCAGTAAAACATGAAGACTTCATCTTCAGCTTCAGAAACAGTCTCGTGGCTGATGCATACATGAGGCTGTGCACAGAATTCAACAATGGGAATGGGACTTCAAAAAAGAAATGTCACATGGGTTACACAAGCTGAAACAAGAATCTCCAACTTGGTACACCTGCTGATAAATCTAACAAATCTGACATGAGAGAACTTCTCATGCTATTGAAAAAAGCTTTGACAGAGCTGTCTAAATGGGAAACAAAGCTTCTTGGAAATCTGGACCAGTACTTCAAGCAAACAGAGGGTCATGTCTATCTTGTTGAAGGATACAGAGAGGAGTTTAAAAACAGTGCTAAGAGCCTTCGACGAGAAATGGAAAGCTCTGTGTTTAATCAACTCAGCAGCAGCTGACATCAGACAGGGGATGACAAACTTGATAAAATCAAGGAGAACCACACAAAGGACTTAGAGGGCAGAGTTTGTGTATTGATTGAAGAATGCCGAAAGGAAAAGTCCAGATGACAGAGAAAGAGCTGGACAAAGAATTTGAAAAGATGTGGACTGAAACAGTGAAGGAACTATCCTTTACAGAAATGAAGGAGGAGGACATTTTCACCAGTGTGTCTCACCGCCTGAGAACAAATCTATCAACCAAGGGAGGTCATGCAAGTGATTTGTTAAGTCAAAAAAGCCTGAGAATGTGGACTGGGTCTTTTAAATATACAGTTGAAGGACTCTTCATCAATGTGCAGACACATTTAAACAGTGGTTTAAAATACCAGGTAATGCAAAGGCTGTACAACAAACAGCTGACAGCATCATTACAGTTTGCTCACAGATGGTGAGTGAAAAAATACAAAGAAAGAGTAATTACCATGATACCTACATCGATGAGATTCTAAACATGATTGATGAGAGGCTGCAAAACAATCAGGAAGTTGGAACAGACATCACTTTTGAAGTCTCTCTGAAACAGCACATCTGTGAGACGCAGCCAGAAGGTTTCAGAGATGCATGAAGATTTCCTCCAAAAGAATGATCCCTACAGATGTCTGAACGAAAACAAAGAAAGTTTCTTGCTGATTTAAAGACGTGTTCCATAATGTAGACCAGTGCCAGAAGAAGGCAGAAGAATTCACAGACCGATGCTTGAAGCCTGCAGTCGAAGACTTTGTCAACCGTTCCCTGGGTCCTGATATCATTGGTGAAATGAGGACAAGTGAGGAGTTCAGCACAAGAATGTCCTTCCAGTATTCACTTTTACTGGATCTGCTCTCAGGATGACTTTAAAAAGTATGAGAGCTTTATTTCCTTATGAGAAATATGTGAAGGAATGGATACTCAACAAAATATTGGAACGCTTCTCAATGGGTCTACGATGTTTGAGGATCAACATCTCCAGTCATGTGTCAACAGCATAAATAATGCTATCCAGAAAGCTAAAACAGAAAAGAGTGGCAACTTAAAGTCATTTGTTGAAGATGTCTGTCAGGAACTTGGTGACAAACTGGTCATTTCCCAGGATGCTCTTGGGGCATTCATGACCCTGAAAAGGCCGACCAGGAACAGTTTGCTCACTGGCTCACTGAGTGTGTGAAGGAGATGGCACACTCTTAGAGAGAAGTTTAAAAAACAAACATCCAAACTAAACTACAGAGCCTTCATGTGAATCCTCAGACGAGCTTTTCAACACACTGATTGGATGTGGTGAACAGTGTCCGTTCTGCAAAGCACCCTGTGAGGCAGGAGGAAGAGCCCACACTGAGCACTTCGCTTCACTTCATCGTCCAGAGGGTCTGGGTCGATGCAGATGGAGTGATACAGAAAAACTTGCATTGACATATGCTCTTCCTCTGGAACAGTGACGACTTTTAGCTGCAGTGCTACAAAAGATCAACCGCACCCTTACAAGCGTTACAGGGAAATCTATCCGGACTGGAAAATCCCACCAGATGCAAGCCTCCAGGCATCAGACTACTGGAAATATGTACTGGCAAAGTTCAACAATGAGTTTGCAGCAGCATACAATGCAAAGCCTGCTGATATTCCTGCAGCTTGGAAACTTATCACACCTGAGCAAGCAGAGGCAAGCCTCAAAGAGTCATTTCATATCAAATGAGAAACTACAAGCTTGTGCTCACAGAGGGTCCCGTCCTCCTCATTACAGTCATCATCCTCTCATGGACATTTAGATTACACTTGATTTATATGAAGAGAAGTACACAAAGTAACATGCTGTTTATGAGATGGCAAGGTTGACCATATATTTCAACAACAACTTACAAGGAATTTGTAAACGTTTCAGTTTGATTAACATACTTTAATTACTTCTTTTTTGGTTGTTATTGTAGTATCAATTAATCAAATTATTTCCTTAAAGTAACTGATGCAAACATTTTTGTTTTTATGTTTTTCTGTGTTTTGTCATAAACACATTAACAATTTCAATGCTTTAAAATATCATTCAGTCTTCATGTCAACATCAAGATTATACAATGTCTTTATTTTATTTCAAATAAGTATCTGATTCTTATTATTTACATTTTTATTGACACATTTAGAATTGTTGTCTTTTCATTTCTGAGCTGCATCAAAAGCCACACATTTAGATTTTAAATCAGTGAATGAATCATTGTGTTTTAGTGGTGGTACAGTCAACATGTAAACATGACAGAAAGTCTGTTGTAATCAAGTTCAGTTTGACATGTGACCGTTTCCCAGAGAGTTAGAATCTATTCTTATTTTGTTTCA